CACAGCGAGAGTTGAGCTCTGGTCGCTGCGTGGCACAGGCCAGCCCCAAGGCTCCTCTGTGCCGCCGGCCACCCCTCTCCCCCCGCACCCGTACCTGAGGGCCCCCCTCCATTTGCTCTTCCACCGCGGGCTGTTATATTTTTTTTTTTTGGTTTTAACTAATGCATTTGGGAGATTGTTTAGAGCGAGAAGTATTTCATGTCAGTGCCAGGAGAGGAGGCCTCCCGGCACGTTTGTGGGCAGAAATGACTGACAGATGCAGCTTTTGAGAGCACCTCGAGATGGCAGCTGCTGATCGCGCCTGTGGGCCTGGCAGGTAACGGGCTCCCTCCTCACGCCTCCCCACATTCATTCTAACCAGCTTCGTTAGCCAAAGTGTCTGGTACACCCTCTGTGTCTTTGTAGCCGGGTCCTTGTGCGCCTGACAGTGCTCCCCATGTGCCAGAAGGCTGTTCGTAAGAGGAGAGCGGTCTGGAGAGTAAGGGCTGAGACAGCAAGAGGCTGAGAGAAACAGGGGAGTGACAGACAGAAGGAGGATGTGAAGAAACAAAGTCATCCTGATGGCTGTGGTGTCCATGTGCAACGTACCCTTCTCATGGCCGTCTCATGCACGTTAAATACGTGAGACAGAAGAGCCAGCCTGCTTAGAGGATGTGATCTCATACCCTTAACTTACTGGAAAATTTGACCTTATTCAGTAAAAAAGTAATATAGCTGCTGTATTCTAGAAAGAAAGCTGTTGCTTATGCAATGAATGTGTAAGCTAAAACTCTGCTTGAAAAATGCCATTTTTCTACCAGGTTTTTGGGAGAAGCAGCCCGGAGTCTCTGTGAACATGTGTTTTGTAGATAAATCTCGTCCTGGAACTCAGTTGGGCTGCTCTGCTGAGACGGCTCTGATGAAGGCGCACAATGACTGCTTTCCTCTGGAAGCTTCAGTTCAGTATCTCCTCTCGCTGCACTGACTTTATCTGCAGTACTTTACCCAGTGAAACAGAACAGACTTCTTGGATCGTATAAAGCATTGAACTATGGTTCCTTTAACCCACATTTTCTGAAGAGGAAACATAAATCCTGCAACTCAGGAAAGTGTTGGGTAGACCAGTTTTATCTACTGAGGCCTTTTCATGTTTTAATTGCGATGGGCCAGGCTGCCTTTCATTCCAAATAAACTGCTCAGCTCCTTCATGGTAACAAATAGCTGGAATTATGCCATTCTTCAGCTTGAACGCGTCACCACCCCATCCAAAGACAAGTAAAAGGGTGCACCACTGAAGAGTCGTCTTGTTTATGGAAATTTCTGTGCCTGTGAAGGACAAGCAGAAAATGGCAAGAGGTGACAAAGAATGGAGAGCAGAGGGAGAGAGCAAACACATCCTGAATACGTTCTCTAAACTTGTTCTCTGAAAAAGCCTGGGTTTTAATGCTTTTGAGAATATATTACAGAACGTGCATGCATTTCATGCAATTAAAATTGGTTTTTAATCACACTTTTAGGGTAGTACAGTTGCCTAAGCACAGGCACCTTCATCCATGTGAGAGAGCCCTAAGGTGCCCGAGACACCCACAGGTCCTGTGCGAAATCCACAGCGGGAGGCCACAGCAGATACAGAATTACCTAAAATGGAGCCGATGTCTACGTGTAGGCATCTAGGTTCCACTCCTAGTGGCAAATGCTTCATTAAACAATTATTCTCACTATTTTAAAGTAAGCTGAAGCCCTAGCTAGGTCAGCTGCAAGTCTTTTCTTATAAATACCTGCTAACATTTTCAATATTCAGTGTCACAAACTAAATCTGTGCGATAGCTGAACAAATCCCATTCACAAACTGAAGCCTGTTTGTTTTGGCATTGCTAAGCCCAAACATCTTGCATCATCCGTTGTTTCCTGACCTGAACTTGTACAATTGAATACTTCTTCCTCACTGTAGCGCTTTTCACCTGTCTCCACTTCACGTTGTCTTGTTGATTTCAGGCCATTTCTCCAATTTTTCAAATGTATTTTAAATTTTAATCTCGTCAAATGTCTCCTAGTCATCTTCCTAGTGTATATTTCCCTTGTCATTTTCTCCCGCAGGACATTCTCTGCAAAGGATTCTTCCATAAATGCAAGCATACACACAAGTAAGCTGCCTCTTCCAATAGAAGGAGAAGGCTTACAGAGATGAATGTGCCAGGGTAACGGTATATTTTTTTAGGTAAATAATTTGAGATTTTTACAAACTAATCTCACCCCACCTGGAGTCTTGCCTCCAGCTCTGGAGCCCCCAACATAGGAAAGACATGGACACAGGAAAGAGAAGGCCCCGGAGATGCTGGGAGGGCTGGAGCCCCTCTTCTGGGAGGACAGGCTGGGAGAGTTGGGGGGGTTCAGCCTGGAGAAGAGAAGGTGAAAAAGGGGAGACCTCAGAGCCCCTTCCAGTGCCTAAAGGGGCTCCAGGAGAGCTGGGGAGGGACTTGTTACAAGGGTGTGTAGTGATAGGATGAGGCGGAATGGCTTCAAACTGGAAGAGGGCAGATTTAGATGAGATATTAGGAAGAAATTCTTGGCTGTGCGGGTGGTGAGCCCCTGGGGCAGGTTGCCCCGAGAAGCTGTGGCTGCCCCATCCCTGGAGGTGTTCAACGCCAGGTTGGACGGGGCTTGGAGCAACCTGGGCTGGGGGGAGGTGGCCCTGCCCAGGGCAGGGGGGTTGGAAGTCAATGATCTTCAAGGTCCCTTCCAACCCAAACCATTCTGTGATTCACTCTGCATCTGAGGAGCGCACACTCGGAAGCCCTACCAGGTCACCGCAAGAGATGACATCCAGGAGCTTCCCTCGGCTTCCATGAAGTGTTCACTGTAAGGATGTAATTTTCTGTGAAGCCCTTTGCCGAAATCCAGCGGTCCTCCAGTTCTGCGGGCCGGCGCCCCGTTCCCCCGCAGACCCTCCCGCTCTCCTCCCGGCACCGGAGGCACCTGAACCGACTCGCCTTTCCTTTGGGGCCGTCTCCATCCTCTCTCTCCGCTTCGCCTTTCTCCGAGGCTGCGCTTTAG